CTATGATTAACCAGAATAACTCATATACAATAGTTTATCCCAGTGAAGCAATAGCAGGCATGGAAAAAGAAAAAATACCTTGATTTACACGTATCGACATCTCACTTCGAACGAAGGAGCGCGTAAATCATTCATTCTTAGGCCCAACGGATAGAGAGTCACTATGGAAGAGGTACGAACAGGCAAGGGAGCCCTTGCCCCCACAGCAGCTCTACCCTCTTTCGTTTCCCTCTGGAGCTTTGAACAAATTATTTCATAAACAATCAAGCCCTAAATGTTGTTAATAGACACACTTTGCACGTCGTATCTAGTAACCTTCCAGTGATGACCAAGGCGTCATCGTGAGGGTACAAATTTCATGTTCATCTTCGGATCCAAACTTCAGAATGACTTCGGACTGTGATTGCTCAACTAAAACCTCTGTGACCTCCTTGCTAGGGTAGGTCCTCTTCTGCGCCCTATGAGAGTCCCCATCAGTAGGACCACCCGCAATCATCTGGATCACACCTCGCTTGGGTGGTCACTCTTCGGGCTGCCTTCTCTTCTCCACGACCTCACGGTCCTCTCTCTTCTCCTTATCTCTTAAAACGAACTCCTTGAGATGCCCAGCTCGGCTGAGCCTTTCAATCTCACCCTTCAGCTCCCTGCAGCTATTGGTGAAATGACCATAGTCCTTATGGTGCCGACAATATGGATCACCTTGTGAGGGTATATATCATTTTCTTTGGGATGGGGTTAGGTCAGGAAAAGATACTCGTATCATCCCGCTTCTCCAGGACCTCGAACACCTCCTAGAGTACAGCTAAGGGCGCAAACTGCCCATACTTATACCCCACATTGCCACACTCATCTGAACTGGAGTCATTATTCGAAGACATCTTATTCTCCGAGCGAGGCTTCTCCTCAGCTCGCTTGACCTTGACCTTGTCGTCTTAGAGAAAGTTAGCATATGTTTCCTCTGTATTGATGCACTTTGCACAACTGACCAGCAACTTGTCAAAAGACCTTGTCGACTTCTTTGCCAATGAATCTCGACACGGACCTAGTCGGAGCCCCCTAGTCAGACCTCCCGCTCTTATCTCTTTAGACACCCATGGGACCTCCATACACTCCATGGTGCAACTGGCTATATATTCTCGGAGAGTCTTCTCATCCGTCTAATGCATGTTGATCAAAGCCAGGTAGGTCTTCTCATGCTTCCTTGTGCTCGAAAATTAGTTAAAGAACTGAGAGCTCATTCTCTAAAACTGTAGATCGACTAGGCCGGCAACTGGTGAAACCAGTCCTGCGCCGACCCTTTCAATGTGGTAAGGAAATCTCTACAGCAAACGACGTCGTTGTATTTGTGGAGGACCGTTATGTTCTCAAACGACCTAAGACATTTAGCTGGGACTGTCAAACCATCATATGACAAATTTATCTCACGAAAAGTTTTCGATAGATCGGCCTCCAAAACCTTCTCGGAAAATGGAAGGTCGTGAATCTGAGGTACCACACTACCAACTACTCAGGCCTGTAGCTCACGCAGTTGAGTCGCGGGACTTTCTAGGGTCGTAGCGTCTCAAATTGTTCTAGACATTGTAGTTGGTGAGGATGTCGACCTTATCTCTATCTCGTCTACTCTTCTTTTTGGTTGTGTTGAACCACTGGTGTGTCCAAGCTCGGGCCACTACCTCAACCACAATTCTGTCCAGTTCTTCTCGAGTGAGTTGAATTACCTGATCACTAGTAAGGGCTTCTTGTACCTGGGTTGTCCACCTGTTCAACTTCTTGATGTTGGGATTGATCGATCCCTAATTCCTCCAGGTGACGCACTTTGACCTGCTCCAAAGGCTCTTCAGTGGCCATCAATTCTCACCCCTCCCCTGTCCTGGTCTTCTGGTGTAAGACCAGAGGCTCCTTCATCGCCGGCGGTTGTTCTGACACGTTCAACGTCGGGGTAAAAGTAGTACTTACTCCCTGCAAAGTTACGTTGGGCGTGGTCTGCTTCGACCAGCCCAGCAGAGGGCCTGAACCCAAAGGAATACGAGATACCCACACTTCCTCCATCTCTTTGGTCAATATTTTCTTAGAGTTATCCCCTGCCATGATCTTCGAACTTCGTAAAAAGCTTCTTTGAGAATCTGATAAGTCCCCTATAGCCATAAAAACATTGAGTTCTTCCCACAGATGACGCCACTTTGATAAGAAAATTGTCTCTAGAGTGGGTTAAACCGGCAGCACCATGAATGTCCCTCTGTCTCAAGCTCTAGTGACCTGCAATACGCCGGGGAGGGGTTCCAGCGGAAAAACCTCTAACACTCAAGTTAGTACTGCTCGTGAGGAAATATATGAATTGTAGATGTATGCGCGTAAGAATATGTTGTATGTAAAATTAAACCTGATCACTCTTATATATTAGGATGTCTTGGTTCCCAAGTACAGCTCTAGCTAGGAAAGAGATCTATCCGGATCCACTTCCCCAGCTTATCATGTCTTTAAGATCTGATACTCCTTAAAGAAATATACTTTCCATCCTAAAAAAATTATGTCCCCTTTTTCCATACAACATTTATGTCCTTAGGTCGTCTGAACGACCTCGCAGCCTACCCGCCACAGACTGTAACCAGGTCGTAACACCGACTTTCATGCTTACGACTTTCGAGTCCTTAGGTCCCTTTGTTTGTCTGGGCTCTTGAAGGAGCCCGACCTCCACACTTTTTAACCAGCTCGACTCGTACCTTGAGTTACACACCTGAGCTCCCTAACGAGGTCGAGTACTAAAACCGAGCTACAGCTCCCTTGAACCGATTGTATCCAACCTAACCGCTTACACCGGCTCGCCAAGCTACTCTAGGTGTTATATTAAAACAATGTACTATACCAACATACTTAGAATGATATACATTGATCAATATGTACACACAAATTCGTGAAGTACATTTGATTCTAATTGAACTTTTAGATACATGACCTAGATTGTGTAACATGTTTGTAAATGTTGGATAATTTTTTATTTTTTTTTCAAACAACACCCCAGGAGGGTAGGGGGTTAAGGCCGAACCCCCAACCTGTATATAAAAATGTCCTAAATGGGCTGAAAAGTCACAAGTCTACAAGTCCAATGTCTGATATACATCAAGTCAAACGAACAATTAAAAAAAACAAAAGCAAGAAAAAATACAAGGGACAGCTGACAACTGCACCAAGAAATACGAAAGTAATAGATCCTGATCCGGGGAGAGTCCCGGCGAAAAAGTAAGCATCACAGTGTGGCAGATGCGACAAAAGGTAGGACCGGCTACACAAATCTGAATGAAGAGTATCCCATCTGGTCCATCCGTATGAGGGTGCAGAGGCAGAGGGGGATATCGTCAGGGTAAAGAATACGTCTGTGTGGGTGAAGGACCCGATGCCAGCGAGGAAGTCAACTGGCCAGTTCCCCTCGCGGAAGATGTGTGAGATCCTAGAGCGAATCGACTGTAGAGTGGCTCTGATAAATGTTGGATAATTTATTCGTGTTTAAGTATTAGTTGAAACCAAAAGGTAAATAGACAGAATATTTAAAAAATAGTTTAAAGAATATTCCTCACCTACATGTAATCTATTTCCGCTCTTGAGCTTCACCAGTCGAGATTTTTGCTCCAAAGTTTCATGCTAGGTAGCTCAATTCACATCAAGGGGAGAAAAGTCGCCCTTTTCTTTTTTATTATTAGTAAATAATCCTCCAAATCGAAGGGAATTGTTCATTATTATTGCTATGAGAATAGGGAATTACGGTGATTAGAAGAAGAACATGATTCAAAATAAAATTATACGTAAACTATTCATAAATTACAAAACACAATTAAAAGTAATGACAGAAATAAACCATAAATTAGTCATTCATGAATATTGGAAGTTAGTATTCTGTCATTCAAAATAAAAAGTTTGTAAATATATAAATAAATAGGCATTCGTAGGTAAACGGTGTAATTTTTTTTAAAAATAATTACCGACAACCCAGATGAAGAACCGAGTCGATGACATATCAAACCGATCCAAAATATATATTTAAAAACAATTTGAAGCAATATAAATTTTATATAATCATTATTTATTTATATTCTAATGTAATCGAAGCTATTTTAAAATAATTATATATATTAAAATATATAGAATATACATTAATTTAATGTACGTTACTGCAGTCATTTATATATCTTATTATATGTTTCAATTATTGGGATATTAGTTTTTTTTTTCACATTTTTTCAACTGGTAGTTCTGTTAAACTGCCTAGGCAGTCATAGTCCATTAAGTTGTAACATATATACATAATCTCATACTTAAATATTATAGCTTATAATATAATATAAAAAACAGTGATATTTGATCAAATATGTATGTAAAATATGACTTCGTTCAGTTAAACAGTCTAACAGTAGAATTTGCCTTTTTTAACCCAATGAAACGTGTGAATCATCAAATCTATACCTTAATCTATTTGATTTCAAACATAATAGCCAACAACTTGCGGCAGCTGCTTGACCAAAAACTGTTGATTAATTTAATCAGTGAGATTATCTTAAATACAGTTTAGTGGCACAATGGTCTTTTTCCCTAGATGAATTGCACTTGGTCAAATTTTTAACCAAGAGTGATGGATGGATTTGTTCAAACACAGGACAAAAAACACAACTAAATGAAAATAAAGAAAAAAACTAACCTCGTCCAGTTGCTTAGAAACCACGTTTCTTTCACCTCTGCCACCAACTATTTAATGGCCTTATAATCCTCATGCTCTTTTTCCTTTCTAAATTCCCAGTTTCAATTTCTCTTCATAATTCTTTTACTTTTTAATTTATATTGTCTGATTGATTATTTGCTTTGGTATGCTTTTCTGTTTGTTCTGAAAGCTTGAGCTGCCTGGTTTGGATTAAATTGTCTATGTTTCTTGATAGTCTAAGAAAGTTGTCTTTTTTTCATTACATGATCATCCATTTCCTTCCAAAGAAGCCAAAAACATAGACTTTCTTGAAAAAATAAAAATAAAAATAAAAAACTGTTCTTTTTGTTTCATTTGTGAAAAAAATTGATATGGAAAACAATTGTGGAGCTCTGAAAAGAGGTGATCTCATGGAGCTGCCGCCCGGATTCCGATTCCACCCGACTGATGAAGAGCTCATCACTCACTACCTATCGAAAAAGGTTTTGGATCCCGATTTTGCCCCCATAGCCATTGGAGATGTTGATATGAACAAAGTTGAGCCTTGGGATTTACCATGTAAGTTCTTTCTTGAAAAAAAATTTTGGATTTTTATTTTATTTTATTTTTTTTCAAAACTTTTTCTGGTTACCAATTATGTGATTTTTATGATGTAGGGAAAGCAAACCTAGGTGAAAAGGAGTGGTACTTTTTTTGTGTTAGGGATAAAAAGTACCCAACAGGCCTAAGGACAAACAGGGCAACAGCCTCAGGCTACTGGAAAGCCACTGGTAAAGACAAGGAAATTTACAGAGGTAATAAAATCTTGGTGGGCATGAAAAAAACCCTGGTTTTTTACAGAGGAAGGGCCCCAAAAGGTGAAAAATCCAACTGGGTCTGCCATGAATACAGATTGGAAGGCAAATTCTCTCTTGAAAACCTCCCAAAAGCATCCAAGGTATATTTATTAATTTATTTGCCTTATAATAAATTCCCCTGTTTCTATTGAGTTGGTTTAATTGATGATTAAAATCATATTGTTACAGAATGATTGGGTTATCAGCCGGGTTTTTCAGAAAACGGCCGGGGGCAAAAAGGTCCACATATCGGGCCTGGTGAGAGTGGGCCCGAATGGAAACGAGCTGCCGCCGTTGATGGACGTGAAGCCCGAAGAAACTGGGCCGGGCCACGTGCACTGCTTCTCCAAGCCCGTTTTCCCATCGCCCCACCAGAAAATCCAAGACGATCATTTAACCGCGAATTTTAACGGGCCCTCGGTTTTCTACGCGCCGGACTCTTTCCCGGTTCCTTGGGTTCCGTTCCCTACTGTTCAGCCAGGAAACGGGTTTCAGTTCACGGGCCCGGGCCCAATTCAAGACCCGGCTCTCCTTAGGAGTTTCCTCGCGAGTTACGGCCAGTATGCGAATCCGGGCCCGGGGAAAGAGAGTGTGTCTCAAGAGACTGTGATGAGCACTGAGAATTCATCTGTTGTGTCTAATTTTGAGATGGGGAAAAGGACATTTGAGGAACAACAGCAGCAGGGTTTGGAGAGCATTTGGAATTACTGAATGTGATATTGGTAAATTTGATTAAGAAGAAAAAAGAGGGAGAAATTTATAGAGGTATAGTATTTAGATTTGATTAATAGTGTGTCATAAAGGCAACTGTGATTGTGTTTGTGTTGTGTGCATAGAAAGAACCTTTGAAGTGGAGATATTTTGTGTTGATGTATCCAAACATTGGTGTGATTCTTGTGATTTTTCTTTTTAAAAAAATATTTTTGTGTTGTATCTTTTTGTTTTGAATTGGGGTTAGAATATAGAATTTGAAATTGTGATATATATTTTTTGTAGTTGGACTTTGCTTTCATATTACTTTATTTGTTACACTTCTTATTTTCAAAAATATGGATAAGTTCATTAGAAAATACTATACATTCAAAAATAGTATAAACAAAAATATAACATTCGATATATAAGCAAGCATTTTTTGTTAGTATAAACAAAAATATGACGTTCGATATATAAGCATGCATTTTTTGTTCAGATAGTATGTCAGGTCTACTTGCTTAATAGTTATGGCAAATATGTGTTTTAGTTTAACACATTTTTGTATCTTTTCAATTAATCTTCAGACTTCAGAGGTTAATGTTGAAGTTGAGTATGGTAAAGAGAAATTTGCGGATTTTGTGGTCAAAGTACAAAATACAAAAGTTAGAGGGGAAAGAAGAAAATAAAGAAAGAATTGTATGTACACCATCAACATTGTGAATAGGTCTAGTCAATTTGCTGGAGTTGAAGTTAGATAGCATATGGGTTCGAGTTGTTGGCTAACTGGAATTGCTATATTATTTTTATTGAATTTTCATTTGCTGGCAATGGGTTCCACATTTTTTTTTCTAAAAATAATAGTTTCTTAATTATATTATATTATATTATCATTAAAAAGTAGGGGTGCCCAATTCGTATCCGATTTATCCGTGGACTCACTCTCATTATTTTTATGAACATTATTGATTTTTTTTATTTTTTTTTTTAATCTTATCCAATTATGCTGCATCTTTTTAGAATTATTTTTTCGAATACAAAGTGCCGTCTGGATAATCACTCTAACTTATAACTTTTATCTATTTAATTAATTAATTATAACTTATTTATGTTGAAATAGGTATTGTTCGGTATGATGCAGAGGAAGTTTGACATGGAAGTTTGATAATCACTCTAACATGGAAGAAAAATAATAATTTAATTTTTTTTTATCTACTATTTTTTATCTAGTGGAATTAAAACTCCAACCTACTGAGTTAGCGATAGAACTTATTGGAGCAGTGTTTCAAAAAAGTTCCCGTTGAAATTTTGTTTCATCTGATTTATTAATTAAGTTCCGAGAAATTAAAAAATAAAAATAAAAATAATTAAAATATAATGAAAAAATACAGAAAAAAAATTAATTTTTTAATTAGAATTTCGACGTCGAACCATCGGGGTAACCAAAACTGGCAGTTCAATTCTTTTCAAAAGCATGAACTTGAACCGACAAGGATAAAATCAGGAGCCGATTCAAGTCCGGTCAATGATTTTGACTGGTCACTTTGTACCATGTCAACGTCTATCGAAAATAGATGATTCAAGTTCTTTGATTTAAATAGATAGTTGATACGTAAAGACCCTCGACCGGCTTGAACCGCTTTGCTCACGTGCTTCCTCGTCGGTTCAACGCTTTATATCTGCAAAAACTTTCACACCAGAGGGGTTTTCCGGTGAAGAGGATCCGATGCTCAAATGAGTATATGTGAGATGATTTGTAGAGAAAAATAGAGTATATGGAATGTAATGAAAATTATACATCTCACCTCTATATATAGGGGTGAGGTACCTGCTTTTAGAAGGTTGCTCGAATGTGATGAGCTGGCTGTCCAGGCTGCCTATTAGTACAACCTATCATTACAAGAATAATCATTTTTAGTGGCAAAAATTTTTGTCGCTATATGTTCAAATGTCGTCATAAAAAATGTTGTCGCTATATGTTTGAATGTCGTCACAATAATCATTTTATAGTCATGCCATTAATGTCGTCACTAAAATTAGTTTCACTAATAATGATTATTCTTGTAGCGCCAGAGGTAGTTCTGAGGCGTGGATCAATAAGGAAGTGCCACGTGGTTTCACCACTTGTGGGGGTTTAAGTCTCCTAATTATAAGGTTCTTTTTTATCCTTTAGTCTTTTGTATTAGGCCGTTTAATGTTAAAACCAACTCTAGGTCAATTGAGGTAAGGTGCGGACTGCTCCGGGTCTGAGTTCTGATTTATCATACTACCATCCATATCTACAGTTCGAGTTTCTACCAGGCCCTCTGAGGGCCCTAGCTCGACATGTCCTCGTTGTCCCGAAACTCTTATGTTGTCTTTCAGATCGAAGGCTCTTAATCCTCTATTGGTGCCGCTTGACCACCACCATCTATGCTTCAATTCCGATCGACCAAGCGGTTCACTCGGCTGAGTCGATTGGTTTACTTCCTTAGGTATAATATCCCATATCAACAATCTATAAAAAATAATTATTTAACATCTATATTTCGTGGGGCAATGCTACATGTACAATTGTAGTTTACAACATTAGTTAAAAGTATCACTAACTCAAATCTTAACCATACATTTATTTGCATTTCAACAACTCACAATATACCACATCATGCTGTCATTGAAGGTTGTACAAAAAATTGTACTAAGTAGCTTTTTCCATATTTCGCATAGGCTAAGTACCAATCACTAATTCATTTATATTATTTTAAACCTTTTATGGCGACTAATTATGTCAAACTTTTAAATTTCCCTACATATATCTCGTAACTATCTCCATCTGCTCCTATATTTATGGATTAAATTGTCGCCCTGTTATTTTTTTCATGCCATAATTTTCCTACTATTGCTACACGAGTATTATTATATATACATTGTTTGGTCCAGTATTGCCTAAATTTCCGTGAAAATATTTAAAAACAAATATATGTCCTTTTCATTTTGGTAAAATGTCAATTCCTTCTAATTCTCACCGTGTCCACGTGGATTTGACACCCGAGTCCGAGTTTGGATCCGTCAGCAAATCTTAATTAGGCTACAGTAAATTTCCATCTAAATTACAAAAAACGAAATGGTTGAATTCTTGGCCTCGTGGAAATTACTGCACATTTTTTTTTATATTGAATTTCGTATAATGTTATACAAGCATTATATAAACACACACACGCAATACATTTTACATTAAATAACTGTGCACAATATCAAGTTCTCTTTTGAGTTTTTTTTTTTAAAATGTATATTTCACAGCTCTGCACCAAATTTTGAAAGAAAATTCACATACATTAGGAATCATATTTTTAAGTTGTTAAAAATACAATTTACTTTCTTGATATATATTTATATATATAGGATGTGAGGGAGAGATGAACTAAGAACTAGCTTTTAACTATGTAGTATGTTAAAATTATATATACCGAAAATATATGATTATGCTATTTATGTATATTAGCATCCGTGTAAATTAATTAAAAAATTATACTTAAAATCTGAATAAAAAAAATTGTTTAATTTTTTAATAATTCTTTAATAAATTATATTATTACTTTTATTTAAAATTCTACCCATGAGACTCACTTATCCTTGTTATGATACAATTTTTTACTTATATCATATAATATCATTGATAGATAAATTTATTTACTCTCACGGAATGATTCCGTGACAGGATGATAGCCTTTTTCAACTTGTATTATTTTCTATTGAGTACTAGCCCCCAAAATACCACCTTTTCAGTTAAACACGAAAAACTCTATTTCAAAAGCAATGCAATGCATGCTATTTAAAATGTTAACATTAAGCTCTCCCAAACACCTAAACATCTCAAATCTCATTACAAATTGACAATAATAGCACTATGTAAATTGTAACTAGCATCTTATACTTTTCATCTACACCATTAATCCTCCAAACCCTAAACTCCACCGCAAATTCCACTTGAATTTCCCCACAAGAACTAATCTCTTTTCCCCCTCCTCACAATAAGAATATAAGAAAAAATAAAAAAAAAAAAAAAAGGCAAAAAAATCGAGTCCTCAACGTAATAAACCTTTCTTTAATTTAGTTCAAAAAGATAGAGCTCAAGTACTCGTGGCAATATACGAATATGGAGGAATGTGCGTTTTCAGGGCAATTAGAAATGCATGTATGATACGAAAGATATACACAATAACAATATATACCAATTCGTACGTATTTTTTTGTCTTTACATGAAATGTAGTTGATTATGGCATTAAGTTAAAGGTCCCCATTATCCCTAATCTATTTTTCTTTAGTCTTTATTATCAAGATGCCGTGACCGCGAACCCGCCGCTGCATTTCCCAGGAATGAAGAAGACGAAGAAGGTGAAATTTTTTACTTAACTACAAATATTTTGTTTTTTGTTTTTAGTTATTATTGTCCGGTCGAATTACTGATTTTTTACAAAAATTAATTAATTAGGTGAAGAAGAAGAAGCAGCCACGCCTGGACTGACCGCAACATCGTCTTCTTCGTTACCCTCTCCTCGCCGAGGGTCCCGAATACGCAAGCCTAAGAAAATATATACTCCTAGTTAGTTTGTGTTGTATTCTGTGATTTTGTGAACATTTTCTTTTTTTTTTCTTTTATTTGTTGTACTGGATTTTCAGATATTTATTCTTGATGGTTTTGTGTACATATTTTGTGGTTTACCCTTTTTTTATCGGTAATTGTGGTTGACTTTTTGTATATAGTGTTTCGTGTATGTATGCATGCTATATTGTTATTTGACGAATGAATTGATATTAAAGTGATATTATTTCGTGTTCAAAATGTTAAATCAAAATTTATAAAAAAACCTTCATAATGAAGGATAAGAATAAAAATTCAGCCAAAATAAACGCGATCACTGGTAAACGAGTTCGTGAGCATCCAAGAGTCGAGTCCTAACTTAAAAAAAAATAAAAAAATAAATAAACACGGATTCTATAACCAAAAAAAAATAAAAAAATAAATAATAAATAAATAAACACGGATTTTAGAATCTGTGTTACAATGTAAAACGTATTTTGAAAATCCGTGTTACCTAACACGGATATTTATAAAACGTGTTTGATTCAATTAATTAGGGTTAATCAAAGGAAAGATGGATTCTGAAAATCCGTCTTTTGTTCGAAATTAAGGAAAAACGGATTCTGAGAATCCGTGTTTTAAGGAAACACGGATTCTAAGCAAACACGGATTCTCAGAATCCACATATTTTATTTTTCTCCAGACAAGTTTTTGTTGATTTATTTTTGTCCACTTATTTTTTTTATTAAATAAATGATGAAAGTACATTTCCAACATAAATGATGTTTCATGAAAAATTTAAAATGAATTTATAGAAAAGTAACGTACCTTCTCAAAATGTTTTTCAAAGAAGTTCAAGTTAAATATTTTTTTTAGAAGTCACTTTTAAAAAATGTTCATGGGCTCAACAACTGTACATACACACAAGTAAAAAGGAAAAAAAAAATTATAGTTAGACTACTGTTAGTAGGCCTATTGATTAAGTATTTTTACTATTCTCAACATATATGTATACTTTTAAATTAAAATGTCATATTCTAAAAAATATAGAAATAAAAATATGACATTTTATAATATAAGTAAAAAAAAATTGTTATACAAAAATATGACAGGTCAATTGACATCACGGTTAGGCTAGCTCATTCGATAAATTGTGAAAAAGCCTAATAAAGATTGGATTAATTCGATGTTATCTACACATTATAGCTCATCAATTAAAAAAAGACAAATCATTCTTTTATCAATTTTGACCATCAATTTTAATTGAATTTTTAATCTACAATAGGTACTATTGAAACTCCGAGGGTAATTTGGTCATTGGAGGTGGCGGGTTTTGTCCGCGTCCCTCTTTCGTCACCGAGTGAATGAGGTCAGGTACTCAGGTGAGAGTAGCGTTTTTCTATTTTGGAAGTGCCTGCTAACGATCGACACGTAAGCAGGTGGGGGCCCACACGATGATTTTTGGCGCCTACACAACAACAACACGCGGTTCAGGCTTCCTGCTGGCGTCACCGGGCCAGCCCACAGAAACGAACATCGGACTTTTGGGCCTGCTGTCACGTGCCGCCTTTCCCCTTTGCAAAACTAACATATGGGCCCACATGGAGCGGCGCTTTGCGTGTATCTACTGATAATTCCAAATCTTATGGGCAAATTGTGTTTTGTTAGCATTCACACAACGGTGTAGGCGGTAGAAAAGCAATTTTGTGCTAACAAATATGAAAATTATGTGGATGGGAGAAAGATAAACGAAAACCTCTTTATGTAGAGAAACTCTGAAACAATGTAATTTATATTTTATATTTACCTATTCTCCAATCATTCATCATTATATAGTTCTTGTTACTGTCTTTCTTATTTCTTTATCATTTTTTTTTTTTTAAATTTGAGGCTTGTGCGAGTGCGATTTTACGTGTATATTGTGTTGTTAGTACATAAGCTTGCAGATATTATTTAGCCAACACAATCTACAATATTGGAATCTGTTTCCCTACCCACGGTTGGCAGGGATTTAATATGTCCATTGCTTATATGGCATGTACACAATATGCCCAATGTGTACATGCCATATATGCAGTGGACATATAATTTCCTACCTAGCGTGGATAGAGGAGCACATCCCATACAATAATTACTTCATATATGAGTCCAATATTAAATTAAAGATCCAACAATGTTCTTCAACACGTGTTTGGTTTTAGCATATTTAGGGGGCGATTGGATATAAATTAAATAGTAAAAAAAACCAATCAAAACTCAAATTTAACTCAATTCTACTATTTTTAATATTACCAATATAATTAAATAATATCAACCAATCATTCTTACACATCAAATCAATTTTAATTCACTATTCATCCACTCACATAATTTTAGCTAACCATCACTTCTAATCATTTTTCTCCTACTTTACATCAAATCAACTTTAATTATTTTATTTAAATATTATTTTAATATATCCACTAACAACTAACCATATCTCTTTTTTCCAAAATTAACTATAGTTAAAAACAAACCAAATAAAAATTAGTTGAATCCATAAATAATCACCCCCTTAGTCGCCGAATGCTTGTTGGAATAAGTGTTGGAAAATCGATGGGAATCTTCAAGCAAAGTAACGAAGAGGAGTATCAATTAGGCTTAGTAAAAAGTTTTCTATTTGTAAGATTGAAAATTTATACAAACTCAAACTTCTTTTAATGATAAAAATTCCGAAGAGGTTGGAAGATCCAGTTCTCTTTTAATTCTACGTATGCTCCACAATATCGTATTACGTACTAATATGAGATATTATATTAAACCAATTATAATGAATAAAAATAGATATATTAAAAAGTAAGTTTACACATATTAGAATACGTGGCATGATAGTATTGATCAAGTCCAATTTGAGCCTTAAAGTACACCCCTTATAAAAGGGGACTAAGTTATCTAAAAAACACTCTCTCTACATTCATGATTACACTCTTATTTTTGGCATGTCAATAAAAACCCGCCGGGTCGGGTTATTCGCCATTTCGGGTTGGGTAAACCTGAGATGATCGAGTGTCGGATCGGGTTTGAGTATGGTAGAAAAATCGATTACCCTACCCGTTTACCCACAAGCAATAAATCTTATATAAATATATATATATATATATCATATAAAAATTAAATTATTTATTATAATTTTGGTTAATGGTTTAAATTTTATTTTATTTTTATGATTTTTTTGTCAAAATTTCTCTTAGTTGTACAATATAAGGTTTAAATACTTAATTTTTAAATGTTATATTATTAACTAGACTATAACAAATAAATAATTATATCTCAATATTTATTCCAGAAATAATACTGAATTTTTTATAGTCATTTTATTGTCAAACTTAGTTAATCATGAATTGTTAGTTACATTATATTTAATTGTAGAATTATTTTATTTATTATTTTACACATGAAACAGGTCGGGTCAGGTTACGACCGAGTAAAACCCAAATTTAAGAATTCGAGTTACCCGTTTACCCGACGAAGTCCAGATAACTCATTGGGTAAAATCCAATCAAACCCAAAGTTGACTAATCGGATAACGGGTCCGGTAAATTATATGTGGGTCAGCTTCGGGTTTGCCAAAAGACGCATCTGATCCGACCCATTTACATCCATACTCATTTTGCACTCTTGATTTGGAGCGAGTGCTGACTTAAGTATCGCAGGCCTGACACCGGGATCCCTCCCGGCGTTGAGTTCTTGCAGGTACAGAGGCCGTCCTAGTTGAAGGAGCCCGAGTGAAATCCATTCCACTACCACATACTCGTAATATGCTTTCCGTAATTTCATCTCTGCATTCCAAAATCAATCGAGTCAATATTCAATTAATTCATTATTTTACTTTTTTACTAACATATCTCTTACTATTTACAATTAAAGATGATTTTTATAGCTTGTTTTATCATGACTTATGTGCAATTAAACCAGTTCATTTCTCCATTTATTGAGTCTTGTTAGTGATGGTAGTCATTTGTATACTATATGGTATTGTTTATTTATTATATATAGAAGATTGACTCCACTATAGAGCCAACTATTAGCTTCATAGCAAAACTGTATGATTGAATTTGATAGGTTATATAAAACACGAATGATTGATAAATTAGCAATATAATTTATAATGTATAGCTATGTCGTTTATAAACTTTTTTTTTTTAAAAAAAAGAGATACACTATATTCTTATTCATACAGAAATAAAAAAGAATATTTATCAATTATTACAACACAACTATTTATGTAAAAAATATTACAACTAATCCTCAAACAAAAACATGTTTTCAATCCTTAGAGCATGTTGGTTTAACATTTTTTTTTTTAAAAATAAATTAACATTTTAACTCACCCACTTTTTTTTAACTCAACTTCATATCATCAATATAATTAAATAATTATCAATTTTAGTTAATTATTCATCCACTCACATTATTTTAACTAACCATCACTTCAAATCATCTATTTTCTACGTCTACATCAAATTAATTTTAATTATTTTATTTTAAATATTATTTTAATATATTCACTAACAACTAACCATACTCTCTTTTTCAAAATTAACCAAACCAAACCAAAAAAATCCAAACAAAACCAAAAAATTATATAAACAAAATTCTAATTTCGAAAAATTTCTTATTCCGAAGTGGATTGAAATCGCTATGGTTGATCGATAAATCGTGGTTAACAGACAACTCTAAGCACCACACGCGTCCCGGACTCCCGTCCCTTTTTCGGCCTTCGTCTACACGCTCTCATATCGTCGCCGATCCGAGTTTTTCACTTTTCATGGCGACTCCAGGCCATCAAAATCCTCCGACCAATCAACCATCTCTAGCTTCCATTAAATCCACTCTCAAAGCTTACGCTCTCCCTCTCGTTCTCCTCGCGGCCTCGGTTTTCTACCAGCTCGTCGTTTTGCCGCGTAGTTTTCCGCCGTCCTACTACGATGGTACGCATCACACTCTTATTGTTTTTCTCACGCTGCGTTTCTACATTTATTTTCTTCGTTTTGGAGTATTGTGGCGTATAATGGGTTTTGATTACTTGTTGCGGTCTTTGTGCTTTGTGATCCTTTTAGCTTTGGGGATTCCCAGGCACAGTTCTATTGAAGAAGTGACTCAAGCATATGAAGAGATTATTTCCAAGTGGTAATCGTTATTCTAAGCCCAGTTTTCTTTATTTTTGGGATATGAATTTGCTAGACATATGATGCAGTTTTCTGCTACTTGTTTAGTTCTTTATCCCGCTCAATAGATATAACTGTGTATGTGTACGTGAATATATAACCGATGCAGTGTCAGCTAATTCATTCTCTTTGTTATGCTTTTGGGGTGCCTGATGGAAAGGACATTAAGGCGAACTAGCTGGAGAAGTTTCTGAGTTGTGGTGTATGCATGCTCGGTCAATATATGCTAGTGTGTTTGTTATTTTGTTTACTAGTTTAATTCAGTGAATATAGTAAGGCTAAAACGTTAGCTGCTTTATAGTGTAAGATAGTTCCCTTGCATCAAAATGTTATTCACTATCAAGTAATGTGCAAGTTCTGTAAGGTTGTTTGTTCTTCTAGGTTGATGACACCGTCTTTTAGCCTTCTGCATCCCTTTTATGTTCAACGCGCAAAGGGATAGCTTCTATTGGATTTTGTTTTGAACGATGAGAGAATTTGCTTACGGTGAACGTCCCATCGTAGCTGGAAAGGGGTGTGGCACACCAGTTATGTTTTGGAACTCCTCATTTATATAAAGCAGTTTAAGGAGTTTAAGGGGCAGTCAGGTCGCCAGAAGTCAATTCAGTTTGGCATTGGATGGTCTTGAATTTGAAGATTAACCATACATTTTTCTTCTGCATATATGTTGAACGTGTTGGACATAGTCGTTAAGTTTAGGGTAGGCACTTAGCCATCGGTTTTGCTAAACTTGCCAAAACTGATCAAGATTTAATTGTAACCTACTTATCTGATGATGTTTTCACTTGGAAGTGATATTATAGCATTTTATAAAATTTTGCTAGTAACAACACTGACAGTTGAAGAACCAATTCATGTAATCTGTTTTATAGGAAAAAGGGAGGCATTATGCTACTTTAAAATATAATAAGACAGCTGTAGAATTTATGGCAATTATTTACGTTTATATTAAATCAGTTCAAAATCCACAAACTGCGGACCCTTAAATTGTTTTCTGCAAAGTAACGGGGTCATAATATAAATAATTGAATTTGAGTCCCAAAAATGTATGAATATTTACTGAACTTTATCTCTTTCATCGTTGTATATTGAACAATTGATCTTAGTTGAAATGAATTATTATTGTTGCTTTGTTGCTGATGTGATGTGTTGCTGAAACAAGTTATTTCATACGTTTTAAGAACCAACTATGGTCATTATTTCAGGAATTCGAGTGTTGAAGAAGTTCCTCAGACGGTCGATCTTATTAAGGTTGGTAAAGCTTTGCTTTCACTTTATGATCATTACTATTTTAAAATCATACTTTGAAAAATACTGCTTAAATTGAGGTGTCTCTCCCTTGTTTCACCAAGAACTTATTTTACGGCTGATTTTTTTGTTGGTTATCCCTTTCTTTGGCATAAGTTCTTTCTTTAAGCTGTTTGTTATTCGAAAAGAAAATGATGAAGGGAGCCATCACCATCATAATGTTTTGTTCTACTAAAGTTAGGAGTAAAAAACTTTTTTATTTTTCAGAAAGAAACTCTTATTTTATGTATGAAAAAGTTAAAAGGCTTCATACGGTCCGTTTTGCAGGTGCAATATGCTTATGAGCTGCTGACAAATCACTTGTTGAAGAGAGACTACGACATATATAGTATCGATGAATATTCTGTAAGGATTTTGGAAGTTGTGATCCTCATAGTTGATTTTGTTTGTTGCACCAATATGTCATTAGCTTTGAGAAACTGCACCTTGTCCTTTCTGCAGTATCATTCTCCATAACACGTGCAGACACACACACACACACATATTGATTCTCCTGTTCTCCTCATTTCATCAAATATGCTTTTATGTGTTGTTGGTTTGTAGCATGTGCTTGAAAAGGCCAAAGAGCAGCATTCTGGAAAACATATTACTGAAATTGGCCGTCGACTGATCGATTCTGCTTATTTTGGTTAGTGAACAGATTCTATATTCGGTTACTTGTTTTCTTTATCTCCTCTTTCAACATAGATACTATTATAAGCATGCTTTTTCATACTTTTCGTAGTCCTTAATTGTATTACTATAAATATGCAATCTTATATGTATGTCATCATCTTAGATCCAGATCAAGATCTTGGGTTGATCACTGCTCAGAACTTTTTATCCACATTCGAAGATGACAAAGCATTGCTACTACAGGTACTTCCCACATGTTATTTGTATATCAGTCTTAATTACATCCTGTCAGATATTGTGGTTGCCTCTCTACATTGACCTCATTTACATACAAATTCATTATCTTTATGTCTTACGACTTGGTCCTCAGCTTTATTGTTGTTTATTGTAGCACAAAATAATAACCAATATTGCAAACCACATAAATCTATGCCATGTGAGAAGAATTGTCAAAGTTTTCTCCGTCTTTCCATGATATTATGAGTCTATAGCTCCTTGAATGGAGAAGATATTATCGATTGCATCCACGGAGTAACAAAATCCTGATTGTGCAATTATCTTTTGAGAAGAATTATAAGTTAGTTTGTCCACTTGTACTTCTTCTAAGAAGGCTTTATTGGTTCGATAAACTTTTGAGTTGTAAACCAGATAAACCTCTTGGAAAATAAGGAGTCAGCATAAGAGTAAAAAACCTTACAATTTGGATTTGTAAACAAAACTCTTATACTAGATTCTAGTGCCATATGAAAGTGTGTGAGGCCTCAAAATGACTTTTCAATCCAGACTACTGACTACAGATATTTTTTCAAGGATAATTGTCCTTTAGTATTTTACAATTTAATTTGAATGTTCTTCAGTCAAATTCTCCATAATCTTTGATGTTGTATGATATTTACCAGCATCTTCTGCATATCATTTGTCTGATTCTCATGTAAACAATTGAGTACAGTTGATACAGCAGTTATTTACTTTGTTTAGCATCTGTAATGTCACTAGTCTTTATTGCTTAATCAATGTGTTACTGTTTTGTACTGCTTAATTTATCTACCTGTTCATTATGGTACAGATAATTTCACTAGGGAGCAATCGTTGTGCAGAATTTTCTAACGCGTGGAAGAGAGTTGGTCAGTTGCTTTCATAGAGTACAGTTTGTTTGACTTTTATGTTTACCTTTATGTTGATCTTTGCCTCTTCTTCACTAGTTAATCTGCTGAATGGGGTAGCAAATACTGGAATTGTTGAACTTGGTGATGTTCAGCTTGCTGTACATTTGGCTGAGAAAAAACCCAGTGGACAACCTTTCTTTAGAAGTGGTAAGAATAACATACGGATTATTTATTGGTTCTGCTTGTTTAATTTGTTAAGAGGTATCTTGTTGGCTATTATTATGTAATTCTTATGAAACACGTACAGTAGCTTGGCACATCCCTGCACTATATTTTTATGTCACTTACATCATTGACGTGACAAGTCATGTCTTGCATCTGTATAGTCCCTCGGCAGTCGGCACTATGTTTTTCTTGTCTGCTAACATATTTGTCGAATTAGATCCGCATCCGCTACTATTTTGTTCTCGATTTTATTGTTTTCTTCCACCTACATTTTACAGGGGTTCCAGCGCTTCTGGCTTTTCCACCTGGATGTAAAAGTGCGAGTTGTCTTCATAGGTGTATTTCATCTTTATGACTTTTGATGAGTTCTTTTTACATAAATTAGTTTGATTCTCTATTTCTTTTTAAGAATTGTGGACTTGAATGATGTTTTATTTTCCTAGGTATGATGGTGACCTGTCAGTTGATTCAATCACGGATTGGTTGGCAACAAGCATCCTAAGTCTACCTCGAATCCCATTTTACTCTAAGGAGTCCCTGGTAATCCATTTTGATTCAGAATGCAATAAATACTTTAGCACTATGCAAAGGTGAATCTGTCAGCATGAGTTTTGGTTTTTGTTCTTTGACGGGGTTCCATTAACTCGGAAGCCATATTCTAACTTCAAAACATTATCCCCAGTTGTTCGTTTTGCTTTCTGAGCGATTTGAAGCTGCTATTTTTTCCCCTTTCCTTATTATGCTCTTCTCTTTGGTCCTTTCCTTTCTTTCTCCTTTTCGTCTGCTACGTTGGGTTTTGATATCTTCTGGTTTCTTCCAAATTGGTTGTCTGTCATTTGCAAAGTTTATCTAAACCTATATTCTTTGGCTTTTCTATTGCTAAAAATTCACGAAAGCCATTTTAAGCGTCAAAGAGCAATTGATGGACAAATCTAATGAACTGTCTGAAGTAGTTGGGAAATCAGTTTCTTCTTTTATTTGTACTTTAATGTGGAATGATAACATTAGTTAATCCTATTCAACAATTCTCAAATATCTTGGCAAAACTAAAATTGCCTTTGAGCTTAGTACATCTGACAGATCTCTCTCTCTTTCTCTCTCTCTCTTTCTCTGGTGTGTGTGTGTGTGTGTGTTTCTGGTAATCATCTCATTGTGAATTTTCACTTCTTTTCAGGTGCATAATTTTCTGGTAAAGAGCAAGCCTCATCTGGTATTGTCCTAATCTCATCAATATATTGTTTATGGATTCAACTAGTTTTTATTTGGTTTGATTTTTAACTATAGTTAATTTAAAAAAAAGTAGTATGGTTAGTTGTTAGTGGATATATTAAAGTAATATTTAAATAAAATAGTTAAAGTTGATTTGTTGTAAAGTAGGAGAAAAATGATTGAAAGTGATAGTTAAAATTTGATGTGATGTGTAAGAATGACTGGTTGATATTATTTAATTATATTGATAATATTAAGGATAGTGGGGTTGAGTTAAAGTTGAGTTAAATTTGAGTTTTGATTGGTTTTTTTAGTTGGATTGGAGTTTTGATTGGTTTTTTTTTTAGTTGGATTGGTAAACAATCACCCCCTTACCCATTATTTCTATCTACTCACTTCTTAAGACACTCATTCTCATTATGAAAGTATTTGATTGGTGATTTCTTCTTGTTCAAAATTTAGGAGGCACAAGGAAAAAAAAATGATTTGTTTGCTTACAGCGAAATTAATCTCATTAGTTTTGTAACAGGTTAAAGTTATATTCATCTCAAAAACTGGAGAACGTGCTACCCCATTCATTCGTCAAGCTGCTAGGAGCTATTCATCATATGCTACTTTTGCCTTTGCTTTATGGAAAGAGGAAGAATCAAAATACTGGTGGAATATGTATGTTAATTTATTTTTTGTCTTGTTTCTTTGCAGAAAAGGCCCTTTCCCCAGGGAGTGAATTTTTTAATGGTTCTTCGGTCATTGTTTCTTCTTCTTTGCTCCATTTTACATTTTGATGATGAACATTCTTGGTATATTACATGCAGTGCGTAAAACCTAAAAATACTACTAATTGCAGTGAAAGAAACTACGAGCATGTTTGTTTATAAAAATTTTTGGTTTTGTTTGGATTTTTTTGATTTGATTTGGTTAATTTTAAAAAAGGTGGTATGGTTAGATGTTAGTGTGTATATTAAAATAATATTTAAAATAAAATAATTAAAATTGATTTGATGTAAAAATAGGAGAGAGAAATTTGAAGTGTTGGTTAGTTAAAATAATGTGAGTGGATGAATAGTGAATTAAGGTTGATGTGGTGTGTATGAAACTATGAATGATTGATTGATATTATTTAATTATATTGATAATTTTGATGATAGTGGGGTTGAGTTAAAAAAAAGTGGTTGAGTTAAAATGGTGATTTTTTTTTTGAAAATTTTCATAAACAAACATGCTCGTACATATTTTTGTATGAGCAACAGGCAAATCAATGAACATGTGCTCTATTTTCAGTGTGATTCGTCTTGATCTTAATCTCTTTTCCGTATTCTTAATACATCTTAGATATGTGTTTGTCTTGGATAGGTAACAAATGTGCAATTGAATATGGTTTCANTAGAAAGAATAGTTGACGGAAAATTCATTATTTTTATAATGTGAAATGATGTAAGATGAAAAATAACAGTTAAAAGGTGATGTGGGGAAATAGTAACGATGATTGTTAATTAGAAATATGTGTGTGGACTGAAAGTATTTCATCATTAATAGGTTCGGTGTGGAGTCTGCTCCAGCAATAGTATTCATGAAAGATCCAGGAGTTCAACCTGTTGTTTACCATGGTATGTCCCATTTCTGATGTCATACTTGTATTGGTAAAATAGTAAACCTATGAACACTTGATTTAATTGTACAAAGCTAATATATCTCTTACCTACAGGACCAGTCAATAGTTCGTTGTTCATAGATATTATGGAGAAGAACAAACATTTTGGTACGTTTCTGTGTTTTCCCTTTGCCTAAGCCTATATCATATTTAATGAATATGTACAAGTTCACCCGTCAAATTTATTACTCAACCAGTTATTATTTTCAAAATAGACATTGGTTCTAACTTAATAGATGGTTGAGACTTGAGAGCTCCGCCAATGTGAAATTCATTGAGCGTGTTAGGTAGTTTGCTTGTTTGCCAATGACATGAGGGGCCCACTAGGAATTTTCATCAAGCATTCTTTTCTGTATAGTTGGAATCCTTTTTAGGCAAGACAAATAATTTGTTGAACTGTTCTTTTTTGAATCTTTTATATCCTTCAAGTGCTTCCCCAGTTGAGAAATTTGACTGCTATGGAGTTGGGTTGTGATGTCAATGGTTATTCGCGTGCGGGGACTGATACCAAGATTTGGTACTGTGCACTTGTTGCTGGAAGACCTAGTCAGGAACTCAATAAAATGCGTGAAGTAAGCTCCTCCATTTTTTTTTCAGTGGTATTTGGATGTGGCAAATGCTTCTAACATGTCATCCTGAGTTCTGACTTTACATAGTATTTTTCCCTTTTTTCTTATTGGGATACTCGTATAACAAGTTAACATGATGTGTAAAATCATGGAACACATGGAATATGTTTGAATTAGTAGTTGTTTATCTTCATCTATAATTGAACAATTATTATTTTGTGGTTTATATGTGTTTTTCTATATGAATTCACATCGTGGAGGTTGATGTATATTGACTCGTATGCTTAAAGACTATGCGCAGAGTGCAAGAAACACTTTCAAATGGTGATGAGATAGACACAGACGATCAAGAACCTCAGCCAACACCAGCAGCATTAGCACTAAAACAAAAGCGCCTGACATTTGCCTGGCTCGATGGGGAGGCACAGCATGTGAGTCACATCCCTCTTTCGTCTTATGAATTTTTTTTTGTCTATTTCTCTGGGGCCCTGGGCACTACTTGCACGAGAGTTTTGCTTTCAGTTTTGGCCAATCAGACTTGGAAAGGTTGTCTGTTACTGAATTATGATGTATTTGTCTGGAATAATATCTGATGTAAATTAATTATAATCCATTTGAATTTTACCAATTTACCTAGAATCTGAAACTAACCAGTGTCGGGCTTATTTAGAGGTCTTAAAAGAAAATGTAAAATTCTGTGAAAAAATGTCCTTTACAACTTAGCTATCCTTTTATCATATATCAGTGAGTGGACTTCCCTATAATAAATTGCTGTCAAAATGACTTTAGTTCTTGCCTCCCTGGCAAAACTATTATTTCTTATGAAAGACAAACTCATTTACATATTTTTTTAAAACTTAAACTAGTTTCATCCCTTAAATCAACATATATGAGTGAATATCCTCACCCCGAAAACAGAAAACCAAAAAAAAACAAAAAAAAACAAAAAAAAAAACAAAAAAAAACGGAGCCATATATTATGAGAATTGACGAATTATTATTCTGATTGGTGTATTGATATGGGTTTTGGCAGAATGATGTCCTCAAGTGTACCTTTGTATAAAAAATATGTATATTTGCCATTTAAAAATTTCCTTCTACATTAACCATATCTTGCAGCGCTATTGTTTCTTCAACATCCACTCAGAAGATAGCTACGAGACATGTGGAACAAGGAGGGGGATAACCGATGTAGCACAGCTGTTCATTGTACGTTATGAGAGGCATCCTAACAATGAAAATTTGGATACCCCAAAACAGCCAAACAATATTTTTCATGCGTGGCATCACCCTGAATCTGATCCAGTGTCCTCGCTAGTCGCAAAGTATAATGGCTCGACCGAAATTTCAGAGGTTAGATTTATCTTGAGATTCTAGCTTCCTAGAAAGTTTAATTGCTGCTTATTGATGAATTTAATTGCCAGATCATAAGATGGGTGTCTCAAACAATTAAAGATGGCGACACAAGAGAGATCCCTCCTTTTGTAAGCTGATTCCTCAATCTTTCTTTACAAATTCTCCATTTTCTTTCCTGTTTTATATCTTCAGGTGCCGTGTGCAGGACTCGTTCCAGTTTCCTTTTACNAACAAAAGCTCCAGAACTGGTGCCTGAGGATCCACCCCAGCTCTGGTCACAGAGCTCCAAGAAGTTTGTTTCGTCGGGAAAAAGCACGAAACAATTGAGTAAAAGCTTCATAAACCTTTTATCTGATTACCTTGGTGACCCAAGAATCGGCCCATCATTGCTTTTGGTAGCTCTCATGTCTTCCGGTATGATTTGGCTAAACAGAAGCCGAATGATTCAATCGAGCAACCAAAATGAATCTAATCAACAAAAGGTACACATCTCTAAGTTTTCTCCTAGATACTGACATTGTGATAAGGTGAGTTATTGGGTTTACCGAATAAAATGAGTACTTATGTGTGTGCATGCTCTGTCTGCTTGTATGTATATCAATATCAATATTTTTCAGTCAGTGATTTGATCATCTAATATCCAAAAGATGCAGAAATATATTATGTTATAGAAATCATCTATGCAAACAAAATCTAGCATGAACTAGTCATAATCTTTTCACGCTTTTTGCTTTTGAGATTACTCTTTCACAATATTCTTGTACGCGGTTTGGAAATTAAAAGATTTGTTTATTGTTTGTGCAAATTTATGACCTATACTTTTGGTTATTTGCCTTCTCAGAAGGATGAGGATAGACGAAGAAGGAGTCGAGCGAGGGAAAGTTCGAACAAACTGATCCCACCTTCCATGACTGATGAGGAGCCAAAGGATGCACGGCAAATGGCATTATCAGACTCCGACTCTGAATAGTTTTGATAGTGTCCTTTTGGTTTTAGTTTGACGTAGAAAGATTAGAATAAACTTTGGTTGAATCAAGAGAAGAGATTTTCTGAACAGATTAGATTTACATATGAAAATGATGATAATTGACAAGTTGCAGACTTGCAGTAGGCTGAGGCTGAACTGTGCATTTTGTTCTCGACAAGAATCTTTTTCAGTATATATTCAAGTATATTGCAATTGGGCATGCAAAATAAAGTTAAGTTTGTGCTTGTGATGGACGTGAAATTTATTTCTTACATTCCAAAACTTATTTTGTAATTGCTTTGTTTGTTGTGGAGAGGGTGAAACTTTGTTTTCACTCGTGTGTTTTAGTCGACCATGGTGGTTAGGCTAGATCATTTTGTAGCCTTTTGGTTATGCCTTGTATGAATTTAATTTGCTTGGGTTTAATTTTATCGTTGGAAAAAAAAAAACTTAAATTTATCTTAATTTGCTTGAGTTTAATTTTAAGTTTATCGTTGGGAAAAAAAAAAAAAACTTAAATTTATTTCATTTTATTAGCATTTAAAGACACGAATATTGTTTAAAAAAATGACTAGTTTGTCTAAATGTCATTTAAGTACATAAATGACATTCTCATTGTCACATGTAATGTGATATACTGATACAATGACATTCAAGTATATAATAAAAGTTTAAATCTATAGATTTTAAATTTACAAAATCAAATCTCTATATATGTTGGGATCATAATAAAAGTTAGAGGATTTCAACTCCACGCTACATAGATTTTAACTATTATTTTGAAGGATTTTAAAAGTCATTATGTTGAGCAAATCCTCCACGCCACATAGATTTTAACTATTATTTTGAAGGATTTTAAAAGTCATTATGTTGGGCAATTGCAGTCTCTTTTTGGTTTTTAGGTCGGCTACGAGGATTGTGATTGAGCTGGTCCATTTTCTTTGTCTTGGGCTGGATTGACATTTTTTTTTTTAAAGTTGTTTTACGGCTGTTGAGGGTGAAGGTAAGGTTTGTGCCAATAAATTGGAAAATCCCTTTAGGAAGCCTGGGTTTCAGAATAATGTGGCAAAGTCTATAGTTTGGGTCATGTTACGGTTTTGTTGGTTTTGTTGGTTTTGTTTAGTCTCCGAGGATTCCGATCGGGTATTTCAACAAGTTGATGACATTTTTTGTTAATAATGTAGCTATTTTTTGGTGGGATTATATTGAACAACAGATGAGTCATTCTTCTAGTGTCAAGATGTTGCCCACCAAAAGTAGATGCAACGGAAATAAGTTTTTCAAATTCCGCAAAAGCAAGAATATAGTTCATTGATAAATGTCGAACATAAATGCAGTTCGATCTTCTGTATTTTTATGTAGCATATATATATTACAGATCCTTTACAACTCATCTCTCCCTCAATTAAAAAAAAAAATGTGTGTTATATATAGTAAGTACGATAAAAGAGAATTTTTTATTCTTCTGTGTGTGCAGAGGGACTTGTACGATTGACAAGTGACTCAATAATTATGCGGGTACATGTCTTATCAGTAATCATTTGTATGATTGGGTTGCATTTAATTGATTGGATCGGTACTTAACGTTTTGGGCTCGATTCGATTTCACAATGAATGAGTTGTCATATCAGTTGTTTATCTTCATTTATGACGGTAAATTAGAATTTATTTGCACGCTGCCGTATCTTTAAGTCGACAAATATCTTGTTCGGCATATAATTTTAGTATTTTGCCGACTTTCTATGTTGTGTCGGGTCGACTTAAAGGTGTTCTTCGATTCGGTTAATTCTATAATTCAATCGTTTTGTCTTTTACTGTGAATACGCGTCATGTGAGTAATACTCTTTCCAGTTCGAATATGAACAATAATAAAAATCGATAAGAACTATTAACTCATATACAAAGCACAAAAACTACTGTTGTAACTTACCCTAACCAGTCAAAATTGATTAGAAGAATCGATTATAACCTATTAAGTTTCATAAATAAATATATACACTTTTACTATATAATCAATGCCTTATAAAGCTTAAATGACGGTTTAATAGACAATGCATTGGATTCCACATTATCCTCAATGAAATTATACCTATTAACTTGGTTTGTATTTTTCTGTAAATTAGAAAAGGGTAAAGTCCACTTTTGGTCCTCCATGTTTAGGGGTATCCAAATTGAGTCCCTATTATGTTTTGGTGCCCAATTTTAGTCCTTAAAACAAAAAAATGAGTCCCTATTATGTTTTGGTGCCCAATTTTAGTCCTTAAAACAAAAAAAATGAATCTCTATTATGTTTTGGTGTCCAATTTTAGTCCAAAAAAAAATATAGTCCCTTTACCTCAATTTCTGTGAATTAACGGTCAATTTTTGCTCGACTGTGATGTTCTTTATTTTTTTAAAATTTGTTGATTAATGTCAACTTTGACCAAAGAAAAATAAAAGAAAATTTAAATGCTGAAAATATATTAATAAATAATTAAACTTAAACAAGAAATTGCACTAAATTAAATTAAAATTTTTGCTCGTCTGATTTCTATTTCCCTAGCATTCGCGCTGCGGAGCAAGCCTGGAATCACAGCTAATGCTCTTGCACCCATTTCCGGGTCATGTCATCGAAAAAAATTGCACCTATCAACCCTCTGTTTTTTAACCATTTCTTATCATATTCCAATTGAAGTTCACGGAAAGTACTTACAGGATATAAAGGGCAACTCAAGAATCTTCTTCCGAGATTATCATCCTTCCAGCATGTAGTCAACTTTGCAACCAGCTCACATCTACAAAATACCACACCATTTCCATCCATTTGATCGGATTTAGTCCCTAGGCGGTTAGGGTTTTTTTTTTACGTTTCACTGCAGTTCACTATTTCTGCCTTTTATTTTATTTTTTCAGCATTTAAATTTTCTTTTATTTTTCTTTGGTCAAAGTTGACATTAGTCAACAAATTTTAAAAAAATAAAGAACATAACGGTCGAGCAAAAATGGACCGTTAATTCACATAAATTGAGGTAAAGGGACTACATTTTTTTGTTTTAAGGACTAAAATTGAGCATCAAAACATAATAGGGATTAAGTCTGGATACCCCTAAACATGGAGGACTAAAAGTGGATTTTTCCCAATTATATGGACTACATTTTTTTGTTTTAAGGACTAAAATTGGACACCAAAACATAATAGAGACTCAGTCTGGATACCCCTAAACATGGAGGACCAAAAGTGGACCTTGGAAAATGGACGAAAAGGAGAAATAAAACATTTAAAATTGATAGCAATAACTAATAACAATAATATCCATGTCCGAATTTCAGGGGCAAAATTGTAAATAAAGTTAGCCGAAAACCACAATTACAACAATAAATCCATTAATCATATATTTGGAGGTGGTCATCATCGTCACTCAAAAATTATTCTCAGCTTCATATTCCCGCAGCATACCTCAACAGTCGATTCGAAGGTGAGATTTCATCAAGCTGGGCCCTTTTAGTTCTATTTTCTTCATCCGATTTCATGTAATTCTGTAGATATCGATCCGTTATTTCTTTTGGTCTGTAGAGAATAGGGAGTTCTTGATTTTGTCTTTTGGAATTTTCGTGGGCAAGTGTCTGGAACTCGGTTATGAATTAATGTAGTGTCGCCCAAATTTGTTCTACATGTTAAGATGTTTTCGAGCCCCACTTTTTACATATGGATTTAGTGATAAAATGGGTTTTTCACGAATTATTTGGACTGGTGTTTTGATTCATTCATTTTTTATTTTTATTTTTTTTTTTGGTGTGTGTGTGTATCTCAGTTAGATGTATGTTATTAAATATAATGGGCTGACCCGCCTAACGAATTTTGGGGACTCAAGCTAATGTGTCCACGAATTTGGTGAGTGAATTTCTTGCTTGGCAGGCATGTTGAGGATATAATTTTGTGAGTGAATTTCTTGCTTGGCAGGCATGTTGAGGATATGCTAATGGAAATTGCATAATAAGTAAAGAATTTTTTGTTTATTAAGCGTGCTAATGTGATGTGGATTATTAAGTAGGAACCCGATTTTCCACAGATATGACTGAAGGTTCTGTCTATTAAATTGGCACGAAGCAATATAGTAGCAATAGTGTGGACATGATCTAAGTAGTGACCTCTGATCATTGAGTTGGAGAACTGTTTCGTATTTATTTGTATGTAGGATATGGAGACAACATATTTTAATACAAAAATGTTTGAGTCCTTAGAGAAATTTATTCTACTCGGTCCTCTTGTTCGGTTATATTTCTGGGGCAGCTCATTTATGTTTCAGTAACTTTCTGTGAAGTAATGGGAAAGGATTCAAAACCTAAGGAATCGGGGGGAAAAGGTAAGGGAAAACAGGCAGCAGGTGCAAGTGATGATGGTGGATCAAAGGGTAAAGGAAAAGGAGGGAAAGGAGACGGTCTTGGAACTTGCGCTTATGTCAAAGGTTTGTATTTTATGTTTTTCTTTTTTCTTTTATTTATCAATCGTTTCTTAAAGATCTGTATCAAAGTTTTGAATTGTTTGGATGATACTCTACTTACCCATTTCTAATTATTACTTTCCACCCTTGACATTATTTAGCAAGGCATATTTTGTGTGAGAAGCAAGGAAAGATCAACGAGGCTTATAAGAAGCTACAGGACGGGTGGCTCAGCAATGGAGACAAGGTCCCACCATCTGAGTTTGCTAAGGTATTGTTAACACTTAACATATGTTTGTTATTAGTTTACATTGTGATAAGTATGAGCTGGATGATGATCGGTTTGCATTTTTCTATTCGTGGTGCATGATCTACTTCCGTTTTATGTCTGGGCACTAAACCTACTGTTGATAACAAATTACGTCATTTTCTTGTCCAATCTCTAGTTTGTATTGCTGTCATATGATTTTTATCTTTATTTTTTACAAAAAATATACAATATATTTTGGTTTGTTTTCTTATCTGGATTTCTATATATTGAAACAGCGATAACTTGTTTGGTTATAGGTTTTTAATTTTGTTTTGGCATGGATTTTTTTTTTTTATGATGAAAGTAGAAACTTGTTTGGTTGATCATTCCTGTTCAGCATGACAAAGTGATAGCTAAAGTTACTTTATTTTCCAACGAAACTGCACGAGACAAACACAATAGTAGGAAATAGGAAATGGCATTTGAAAACAACTGTACAAATGCTTACCATCATAAAAGCCTAAGATTTTGCACCTCTTAGATGAATCTAAGGGATTATCCGGATGACCCAATGCCTCGTTTTAATCCTTGCTTTCTTTCTTAAATTCATCTTGTATTCAGATAGCTGCAGAATATTCAGAATGTCCTTCGGGAAAGAAAGGTGGGGACCTTGGATGGTTCCCACGTGGCAAGATGGCGGGCCCTTTTCAGGAGGTTGCCTTCAACACGCCTGTTGGGGTAACCAGCGCACCGTTCAAGTCTACGTGAGTTTTTGGTCTAAGTCATTTTTTTTTTCTTTTTAATTATTTTCTCACCGTACATCTTGTTTTTGAATGATGTTAATGATGTGCTAAATTTCATTTCGCTATCAACAAATGCAGGCACGGGTATCACATCATCTTGAGCGAAGGAAGGAAGAATTGAAAAACGTTTGGTTCTCTAGTGTCGAGTTTAATCACTATGTTAGATCTTAGAATCGTAGTATCTATGTGAGACCTGTTCTTCGCTTCATTCGGATGGTGTTTTTCTTGAATGGTGAACTGTGTAACTCAACTTCTGGTGAACTATAAAAAATATAACTAAATAATCCTTTTGTTCTCTCATGCCTTTTTTTTTTTTTA